TCCCATCTATTCTTGTATGTTTTCTACCTTTCCACTAGAGCCCTTAGCATATTAATCATAGTGATTCTAAATTAACAGTCTGGTAATTCCAACAGCCCTATCATATCTGAGTCTTGTTCTGATATTTGTCCTGTCTCTTTAAACTGTGTTTTTTGCCTATTGATCTGCCTTGTAATTTTTTGTTGAAAGCTGGCATGATACACTAGATGAAAGAAACTCCAGTAAAGAGACCTTTAGTGATGCAGTTGCTGCGCTGCAGGGGAAGGGGAGGTGTCCTGTGGTCCTGTGGTTAGGTCTCAGTCTCTTAGTGAGTCTGTGCCCTGGGCTGTGAATTTCACAAGCACTTCTCATTCCAGGAGCTGGAGTTGGATATTTCCCTTCCCCAGGTTGGTTAGGCTGTGATAAACCCCATTCGGTTAGGCTCCATTAAAATAGTTTCTCCTGAGGGCAGGCCTGGTTACAAACAGAATGCTCTGGCATATTCCAAAATAGTTACTTTTGCCCTCTCCCTGCCAGAAGGCCAAGAGAATTTTTCTGTAATATTCGCTGTGTGAACCTGATAGAGCTCTAGGAAATGAAACTCACAAAAGTGTGGCAGGTCCCCTGGGAGTTTTAACTCTTAAACGTGAGTCCATAACATCATATGGACTTAATGGTTTGAGAACTAGAATGCATAGTTAGAAGGAAAGTTAATAAAATAAAAACTCTTGAGGCATCCACACTGAGCCTCCAGCAATTCATCGATTACAGATCAGCTGCGTCTACGGGCAACCGATTTCCACAGAGTTTTCTTCTCGTGGAGCTCCACCCTGGCCAGCTGTGATTCTCCCTCTCTGCCTGCCTGTCTCTCCAGGTATCAGGCAGTGGTTGTCATGGGCCCTCAATTCTCCAATGTGTCTAGGAAGACTTGTTGATTTTTCAGTTTGTTCAGCTTTTTACTCATTGTTAGGATGTAGTGGCAACTTCCAAGCTCCTAACATGCTGGATCAGAAACTTGAAGTCCTCTACAATACACTTGAGATGCACCTATGCCATAAGTGCTCAGACTTGGAAGTTAATGCACTGGTGTCTCACTCAGCACCGGCCCCAACAGACCAAGAGGAAATTGGAGGTTGGAAACTGGTGTAGTGAGTGAGTCATGGGACTGAATCAAGACAGAAATCTAGCTTCGAAAAATTGGAACATGCAGGTGAATGCCTGTGTCCAGATCTCTGAAAAGCTACAAATAATTACAGCTAAATGGGGTAGGAGTACAGCCCAGTTGGTGAGAAATATCAGAAGTTTGTGAAGGGATATAATCAAAGTTAATGAGTTTTCTCCCAACTGTTCATTGGATCATGGAGGTCCTGGTAGTTGTTGCTGTTATTTTGATGTTTTAGTATATTTACGTTGATGTAACCAATATTATAGAAGTTGCTAATTACAAGAAAAAGATGAAAGAAAAGTAAAAATATTGGCAAGAGTTGGGAAGACCCTGGAAGTAAAGGTTAACAGGCGATTCTGTGCCCTTTCTTCTAGCTTCTGGGACACCTGAGTATTTAACCTTTGGCTGTATCTTCCTTGTAATGCTTTAATCATGGAGTTAACTTGGATGGACCTTCAGGGTATTATGCTCAGTGAAATAAGCCAGGCAGAGAAAGACAAATACCATATGATTTCACTTATTTGCAAAATATAAAAACAAAACAAAACAAAATGAACAAAATAGTAGACTCACAAACACTGAGAATTGATTGATGTTTACTATGAGGGAGGGGTTGGGGTAGGCAGGAAGGGTGAGGGGTAATGGGGCATAAAAATTCTCAGCCATAATATAAGTTGGTCACAAGGATGGTAGTATGGCATGGAGAACACAGCCAAGGATCCTGTAACATCTTCCTATGTTGACAGACAGTAACCAACCACACTAGGGGGTTGAGGATTTAATAATATGGATAATGGTAAGCCACTGTGTTACATACTTGGAACCAGTGTAAGATTGTATATCAATGATACTTCAATTAAAAACATAATTAATAGGAATATACCTATCCTTAATCAAACATAAAGCAGAACATGATTGAAGCTAATGTACTAAACTAAGCATCTGTGCCTCATTCTTGGTACTGTTTTTCAAGCAATGAATAACAGCGTTGGGAAGAGTCAGCTGCAGTGGGAGACCAGGCCATCGTCACGTTCACTTCGGGATGGTGTGTGACTAGCGCTGTACAAAAGCGGAAGCAACTGCTTTCCTAGGCAGACATCGTTCATCTCCCCGTAGCCCTGGAGCTCTCGCCGCACATACCAGAATACAGAAGGGCATCAGACGCAGTGCCTGGCAGTCATGAGATCTCAGCTGTGTTGTTCTTTTTTATGGTCTTTCTTAGAGCAGAGTAAACTTTGTGCTGCATGAAGACATGTGATGGTTATTCCAAATCCAAGACCACTGTTACTAAAATACAATTGGAGCAGGAAGACATTGCAGTGAGTATAATGGAAATAATGTGTCTTGAGTACTACATGAACCACTAGACAGATAGAAACTATGTTATGTGCACTCTGCATCCTGAATGCCTAGAAGCTTGGTTGCTCATTAAATGACTTAGAAAAATGTGTGTTTATTGATCCAACCAGTATTTTTGAGCAACATTTTTGTTGTCGTTACCATAATGGTTATGAGGGTATAATTCAGAATATGATTGAAATGGTCTGTCCTAGTAAAACATGAGGAATTAAAAGAATATGCAAAGAAAATGGTTGTAACTCATGACATTGTAATAAACTTTTGCCCAATAGGATGAGAAACTAAATAGCGCATTTCAGAAAATATACTATTGAAATAAAAATCTCATTGTACTGAATGGTGATGAAAGAAAGTGAAATGGCCAAAAATTTTGTTGAGAT